GGGCACCGAAATTTATTGCTACTCCTTTCTATATTACCATCTATAGTTTATAAAAGATAATCAAAGTTATTAATTATTAGGTACTTTTTATAATAGCGATTAAACCTTTTTGCGCCCTTCTAGGAATGGCGCCCTAGGCGACGTCATAGTTCGCCTAATAGGTAGCGCTGGCCCTGGGGAGGACTCAGGGACTCGAGTCCGGGATTCGAGCTCAGTGTTTCTTTCAGACTTTTCCCCCATTCTATATCATCTACACCCCCCCTGTAACCTCCTTATTTATTCGGATCTGCTCACTCCAAAACCCAATACAATCTTGTCGATGCTTGAAGTTTGGTATCTAGCTTTAATACGAGAAGTACCAAAACACATTTGACACTGCCAGCTATTTATTCTTACAGCAAGCTTGGTGAAACCCGGCATATCGGGCGCCTGTTGGATTGTTCTTCACTCCTTTAAAAAACCTAATCATCGGATTTTCCCGGTAATCATCGTGGGTTTTTACCGATCATTAGACGTGTTAACTCCTCCCATTATAGATTTCTTGAGGCCACGTGATATCACGGTAGCAGACGCCAGTTGTTACCGCGGGTGCCAGGAGAGGAGGGAGGAGGGGGGGGGGGGTGAGGAGAATATTCCTATAAGATCCTGGCCACGTCTTAGCGCTCAAAAATCTGCCTCGTTTCTGCTGCTGGTGGCCTTCCCTTCGGCCGTCAGTCGCGTGACCAATCACGAGGCTCGTGACGTCCGCGCGGCCACCCCGGCAGCCAATCAGAGACGTTGTCTAGGGCGCCTATTGATCGCGGGCCCGCGCGAGTAAATGTTGGAGCTGGCAATTAGCGAACCGGGAGAATCTAACTTATTTAATTAATTACCGCGTGCTGCGACCGAGAGAGGCGAGAAAAAAAACATGGCGCCCCCCCCCCCCCCCCCTCCAGAAATTTTTGACTTGCATTCAGCCTTATTCACCAACTGTATTCAGAATTATTTTTTTTTAACTTTAGAATTAAAATTTTAAGCTAGTATTATTTGTCAAAAATAGTAAGGAAATTGAAAAAAAAATTACACATATAATGCGTATTGTAACGCAATCTGTATAAAGTAAAATATTTTATTTAAAAATATATTTTTAATTGGGTGGGGGGGGGGGCTGTATCATTAACTAAGATATAGATTAGTCCTCTTTGGGCGACATTAAATTTTGCTCTACGTAAATATATGTATAGGTAGGCGACCAAAGTCTGAAGTTCACCGCATGCGCCATTACCGTAGAACCGCCATTATGGTTTATCAATTTAATTTATAATTTACTTCAAATATTATCCAGATTTTGCTCAAAGTCTTTGTATTTTAAATGGAAAATACATTTTGATATTTTGAATAAAAAACAAATTATAAACATTTCATTTGTATATTATTAAAAACATTAAACCTCGTTTTGATATTAATTAATTAATTGGATTAAGAGATGGGGAGTTATATTCCTAACAGATTAATTAACAAATATGCGAATGTTTATTAACGATAATTTTTGTAACAAAATTTTTGTTTCTTTACAAGTGCCAGCCACCTCTACCGACACCCCCGTCTCCTCCCTGTTACAGGCACAACATAACTCCCCCCCCCTCCCCCAATCTGTACGTGGTCACCCACCACCCCCTCCCCTGGCCGGTCACCCCACCACCCCCTCCCCTGGCCGGTTGACGCATGTAATTGTCTCCGCTCACACATGAAAGGGTACAAATTCTAGCGCGCGTGGGGCGACCGTCCACACACGGCCTGAGCCATTCAAACAATGTGTGGCCTCTAGTGGAGCAGTAGTGGGGGGAAAAAACACATCACAAAACCACATCTTCCACGGTGTGACGACATCACCAAACCACATTTTACACGGTGGGTCAGGAATTTCTGTGATACTGTGTTTTTTTTTTTTAAATTTAATGTGCGATCAAAAGACAGACTGTGTTTTTCATCTTTGTGTGGATTATTCGGTACAAATTAAGTTTTCAAGTGGAGATTTACATGAACAAATTTATAATACTTTTTATCAATTGTAATTATACAGACGAGGGAATAACAAATGTATTTTAATATCTATTTCTAAAAATCCTTGATTTAATATAGATATATAAAGAGCAATACTGTACATGTTATTGTTATGTCAATTTCTTAGTTAATTTTGTTTTTTTAAATAAAATTTTAAAATAAAAATTTCGGTAATAATTCATTCTAAAAACGATCTACCTTTACAGTAATTTAAAACTTACAGAAAATTCATGCGTGCGTTTTTCTTTTAAAATAATTAAAATAGATTAACTTGATAAATTTTAAAGTTTGTCGTATATATTTGACAAAACTGAAAACAAATATACCAAAAATAGTCCAAAGTAGAATGTTTTACACATTACTAGATCTAGAAAATTCCAAATTAGTTTCTCAGGAAAATATTCTTTAATTTCAAACTAATAAATAAGTGTTTACATTTTTAAAGAATTAATTTAAACAGATAATACAACAGTAAACACATGTCTATATAAGTAAACAAACAGCTATGGGAATAGCGTTATATTCATAAGCCTAAAACAAAATACCTGATATACCACATTTCCATATTCGCACTTGATGTGAAAATTTTAGACCAGCTTAAAGGCTAGATATTGTAGTAATTAGTAATTTTATAGTGACCACAAGTTTTTTTTTCAACATTCGAAATATTTGGTTTTCGTGAATTATTTTCAAAGTTCCCGACCTAAACACAAGACGTGATGATTCTACGTCACGACTTCGCTAGAATTACTCGTAACACGAACAAAAATTATGTGAAAATTTCAGAACAGATTTAAGATCAGGTATTGTAGTAATTGTATTGTGACCAATTTGTTTTTAAAGTATTCGAAATATTTTGTTTTCGTGAGTAATTTTAAAGTTCCGGAAACAGTTATACAGTTATAATTATCGATGTCAATTATTTATTTTTTATGGATAATAGTGTTAAACGTATTGATAGAGCGATATTTTAATTGTAGATCTGAATGATATATTATATATATGTTTCAAATCGTGAATGTAACAATTAAAACTAAAGAAGTTCGATTAGTATCCATATTTTAAAATTTCTACTTAGATCTAGAGCATATGTGTAAGAAATGTAAGAATTCAAGCTTGCTTCAACTTGTGTTTGGGTATCACAATTTATTGCCATTAAAACTGTTTTAAAGGTTGTCTTTATTATATTAAAAAATTCGTATGCGTTTAAAAATAACGTTTTAGTGCTTTAAGAAGTTGGAAACTTGATTGTTACATTTTTTTAAAAAGCTGCAATGTTACACAACTTTCTATTAACCATTTTTAAAAATATTCATTAGTCCAGCGGTCCCATAAAGACACGTAGCTTTAGTTTTAATAACTTTTATCCGTTAAATCTTGTGGTCGTTTGGAGCAATCCGGGTCTATCTTTAATGCAACTGTAAGGTTGAGTAATAGATAATTTAGAAAAATAATTTTTACAGAAGTATCATTTCATTTAAATGAACAAATCTGGTAAATATTTATCTAAATAATTCCAAAAAACTACAAATAAATCTTTTACAAAGTTAATTATATAAAATGGTCATTATTGGACATCATAAGCGAATGGACTTGTTATAAATAAAAAGTTATAAAATATGCATGGTGCCATTACCTTGAAGAAGGGTGGGGGAGGGTAATCCTATATTTTTGATACACCCATCCCTTATACCCTAAAACTCGGTTGATGAAGAATAACACGAAATATAAATCTAGAATATATAAGCGATTTTATTTTTAAAAGATAGCTTTTTTGCTTTCTTAAGATATCTTTCTTCAAGTTTGAAGGTTGAACAAAAAATGATTTTTAAAAAATAATGAAAGAATTGAACACAATTCAGCGGTGGCCATAATAAACATTGGTCATGTAATAATGACATTCAAAATAAACAGCTAGGCCTTGTAGAGAAACTGGACATAGTGTTGACCACCTTCATATGCCGAGGTCACCGAATCAGGTGAGTTCTCCTTCACTTGTCCCAAAGACGGTTAGGGGCAATTGAAATGATACTTAACATTTAGAGAAAAAAAGACGGCAATGAAAATAGTGGATAATTTATATTAACTGACGGTAATTGGTATTGTTTGTTTATCAAAGAAGTAAAAATAGAATTTATTTTTTACAACATTCGTGTTGTTTTTGGTGAATTCGGCGAATTTAGGTACAGGCGAATGTGGTGAATTGCGTTACTGGCGAATATTGTCAATTTTGGTATAGACGAATGTTGTCAATTGTAGTTCAGACAAATCTTTTGAGACATTGCAGACAATTTTTTTTTTCTAAAATGTTGAAAGATCAAACACGTATAGACATTATTTTTTTTTAAAATTCGACTTATTAAAAAATACTGCGTTTTGTTGATAGGACGGAATCTATCATAAAACGATTCATTAGCTTATCAAAGAATTCAATTGGAAAATATATCATCAAATATTGTTTGGCTGTTATTTGGTACTTGTAAGATACGTAATGAAGGTGGTGTTTTTAATTTCGAGTAGATTTGAGTATTAAAACGCACAATATGTGTTGACATACGCATCGATAACATCTTATAGACTTTGAAGACATAAGCAGGTTTTCAACAAATGAGGTTTCGGCTCAATGTCTTCGTTAGAATTCTCAGGAAGCTAAATAATTGAAACTGTATATAAGCTAAATATAGACTCGATTAACTTCAAAATTGAATCCACAGGAAGAACTTGACGTTATTTTTTTTTATAAAAATTATGTGATTATTTCATGGAGGAATTACAAAATAAAGATAATATTTTTGTTAAAAATATACAACTCTAACTTGTTAGAAGCAAATCTTTTGTGTGCTACGTTTTTAAAAAACTCTTTGAAACATAGTTAGAAAAAAAATTCAAACTTTTCTTGGCATTTCTTGAATGCGCATCGGACGCTATTACCGCCATACGAAGTTTATCCATCCGCAATGGAAGAACTCACACAGTTTGTGCACAAGTCTTTTGAGAACTGCGAGGCGAAGAGCGCCATGGAAGGGTCAGATCGTCACCAAGAGGTCAAGGTCGATGACTGCGTCTCGCTGGAGATGAAGCTGAGCGCCATCAAGAGCGAGAAGAGGTACGAGGACCACCACTACGACGACGATGATGACGACGATGATGATGATGAAATCGACATCGATAACGTGCCAGACGAGTCGTCTTGCCCGCCCCCCTCAGCGGCTGAGTTTGCTTCAGGTATGTTGGTTGTTTGATGTATGTCTGTTTAATGTATGTCGCCCTCCCCCCTCCACACATGGACATGTGTACATACGCACTCATATACATAAACACACCAACAAATATCCAAACTCACACACGCACAACAATAAAAAAAACCCCACAAACACACACTGGCAAACACGTATACCCTCACTTACATACACAAACACACACTGACGCTCAACCCCCCCCCCCCCCCACGCACAGACACACAGTAACGCCCACAAGCGCACAACACATGCTTGTACACAATCACATGCACATATATAGTCCATAATAACGGAAATAGTTACATTTTTACTTAGGATTATGGTTAAATCAATTCACGGCGTGGTCGAATTGTATTGCGTTCGATTCCTAACCCGAAATTCTCGATTTCTTGGTAAACTCCAGTAGAACGTCCCTGGGTCCACCCAGCTCTAATGGATACCTGACTCACGTTAGGGAAAATAAAAGCGGCTAGCCATTGGGCTGACCACACTATCCCTTCATATGCCGTGGTCACTAAAACACTTGAACTTTACTTCCACTGTCTCGTGGTTATAAAGCCTACTTGCCTTTTTTTTTTTGTTTTACAAACACACGCACTTACACATAAATATACACCCGCAAACATACACAAACATGCAAAACACACACACACACACACATACACATTTACTGTGCCAAATAATGGAGACAGTTAAATTTTACCCAGTGTTGTTTGGATTAAGTCTACCTTTAGACATGTGCAAGGATAAGGTTTAGAGTTTAGCTACTGGTTTTCGCGTTACTTACAATTACAATACTGGCGTGCGCTTAACAAAAACATTTAAAAAAAATTCTTCTAAAAACAAACTCTTTTTGTCCAGTCAGTTTTACTAAGTATAAAACTTCCAAGTTTTGTTACATAGCTTCTTAAATTTGAGTAACAAAACAATACATCTATTATAACTATAGTTGAACAAATAATCATATATGGGGGATTAATTATCATTTTCCTAACTTTTTTTTTGGGGAAAGGGGGGTGGTTAGTTATCGTTTTCCTTTCTTTTCAAAGTCGAACGACGAGGTGATAAAATATTCCAACAATTCCATCAACATATTCCCCAACCCCTCGGGTTATCTATCATATATTTCATCTATCCACCCATCAAATAACACAGCCTTTAATCAATCAGATCATCCATTTATCGATACAATCATTCATCACCGTCTGACAATATTTCAAACAATCCGTGCATAAACCCGTTCATTCGTCAAGCTGTTCATTCTGCTCCACCCGTCCACCAATCATCCACCACGACGGCTTGTCCATCCATCCATCAGTTGAACTATCACTCACCCTTTCATCCTTTAATCCATTCATCCATTCAACCACCTTTACATCCTTCCCATCCACGAGTATCCACTGAACCACACACACGGTTTACCTACTGAACCTTACACAGGGTTTACCTATTAACCCCCCCCAGGGTTAACCTATTGAACCACATACATGGTTTAACTTTTTTGAACCCCACACGGTAATTTAACTAGTTCTATTCGTGTCTCGCTTAGTCCAGCCCTGGTTAGAATCCTATAGAGATTCCCAGCTTTTGCTATAGCTCCTGGATGTTCATCTCTTCTACTTATAATGATCATCACTTAATTATATATATATATATATATATATATACTAGCCGTCCCGGCCAGGCCCTGCTCTGGCTTCTGTGAAAAACCCTTCTGTTAAAGACCATCACCTGTGTGTTTAGTAATCATCATAAACCCGGCATTGCCCACCCAAACCACAACCAACCAAAACCAAAACAACAAAACGCAAACATAACGCTAACACAATTACAAATACAAACGAAAACAAAAACTTACAACAAACCAACCACAACCACAAACACCAATACGAACACAAAGAAAAAAGCAAACGAAAACAAACCAAATCCAAACACAAAACCAACCACAAACACAAACCCAAAGAAAAAAACAAACGAAAAAGCAAACGAAAACAAACCAAATACAAACGCAAAACCAACCATAAACCCAAAGAAAAAAACACAAAAGAAAAAACAAACGAAAACAAACCAAATCCAAACGCAAAACCAACCTCAAACACAAATACAAACACAAACCCAATGAAAATAAAACACAAACGAAAACGAAAAAAGAAAGAACAAAAACGAACCAAATCAAAACGCAACCACTAACGCAAACCCAACCTAAACACAAAGAAAACACTAACGCGAATATAAACGCAAAGTGCTCACGGGGCTGAATCGCCTACTTCAACTTAATAAACGACTATAGTACCCCAACTTATTCATAGTCTTTTGCACTCACTTTAATGAAAGTAGGCGCGAAACCGAACACGGGAGGCCCGGGACCCCAAAAAGCACCCTGTCTGGGCGCCAGAGGACGCACCATGACGTCACCGCCTGATTGAACTTAGTAAACGCCTATAGTGCATAACTTATTTATAGTCTTTTGAACTCACGCGAACGTAGATACCATAGCGTACACCGGAAGGCCCGGGGCGCCAAATAGCACCCTGTCGGGGTGCCGGAGGACGCCCGGATTTGATTCACTTAAAGACTATAGTAACCAGAGTTTCTTCCAGGCATCTCTTCGGGGGGGCTTCGCCCCCCCGAAAAATTTTTACCGCCCCCCAGAACGATATGAAATTTACATAATTTATATAGAAAATATATACTTTTAACAGTGTCCGCCCCCCCCCCGAAGAAAGTTTACCGCCCCCCCGAAGATTTCAAGTGTCCCCCCGGAAAAAAAAGTCTGGAAGAAACACTGATAGTAACCTTTCTTACCCATAGTCTATCGCACTGTTTAAAACAAAATTATGCAGCATAGCGCTCACATGATAGCCCAGGGTGCCAAATCAAACCGTGCAGGGGCGCCGGCGGACGCGCCTGTTTCAATTTAGTGAACAAAAATGATAATACTCCAAGCTTATCCGTAAATGGAAAGAAATAAACGTATATGATTTGTAGGACCTGGCTTATTAAATGTTATTGATTTAAAAAAAAAATAATAATTATTGAACAGTATGTTCAGTGTATAGAATAAATAAAAGTCAGTGTTAAAAATACCTAACGACATTGCACTTAATCAATCCCCGCTAATTGTGTAATTATTTTTTTTTTCTTAACACCAAAAACAAAGTAATAAAATGTTAATTCTCTCTTCTTAAGGATTTATTTTTCATTAAAGGGAAGTAACTTTGCAGTCAATACATTTCCGACACAATTTTAGAAATTTTATAAACGTCGATACACTTTTTAAAAATTTTATGTCGCGTTCATAATTGAAAATTATTCTTCTAAGTAAATAGAATGAAAATTGTTTTTAAAGACTTTCAATGGTAATTTTTTGACTCGTAAATTTAGACTTTGAGCACGATAAAAAATCTAACACTTAAATCCGTAGAAGTGTCAACGACAAACTTTTTTGTTTTTTGCCACACGTTACAGAACTGAGCTTTATATATTAGATATATATATATATATATATATATATATATATATATATATATATATATATATATATATTCATTTGTATATTTTATACATGGGAGCTGGGAGGGTGGAGGATTGAGATGAACCAATACCCCCCCCCCCCCCCCACACACAACCCCTTTTGTCTATACGGACATCACCGTGGAGATAATCAGTGAAAGTAAAAGTACATGTCAATCGAGCTTCAACTTGTCTTCAAGTAAATAAACCAGTTTTGAGAGTGATTTCCCTTGTTAAAGTAAACAAATCTTTGCCCAAGTGACGTGCGCTTATAAAAAATAAAAATATTTTTTTTACAACGGTTGGGGGGGGGGGGGGGGGGGTGAAGAGGAAAAAAAAGGGGGGGTTAAGGGACACGTGAAATGATGTACAGAACTCACCTACAATTATTCCCCCCCCCCCCATTTAGACATCTCCTCCGACTCCACTCACATTCTCCTCCCACTCCACCCCCCCTCCGCCCCCGGCTCTGAACGCCCCGCTAATCTTTGATTTGAGCAACGTCCCATTTCTCTAATAAAATGATATCGCAAATTTGCCCTCACTTCCGGCACGCTCTGATTCCAAGAAGAGGCGGAAATAAGATGGCTCCTGAGAAAAGGGTCCGCTGGAAACAGATTTTTCCTGGGTTTTGTAGATCTACAGCAGCAGATATAGTTCCCTTTTTTAAGTAAATGAGCTATATATTTAAAACTTGGAACTTTAACATGTGCTACTAGGCCTATTTAAGTAATGAATTAACCATTTCAAAAAAATAATTTCAAATTTGTTTTTAAAAGAATTAAATAAAAAAACGAAATATTCATATAAATATTAAAGTATAGGCTTTAAATATAAATTTCTATAAATTTCTATAAATGTATACATATATACATATACATATATATTTATATCTATATAACTTTATATTAATTTATATAATGTATAATTGTATTTACATATGTATATATATATATATATATATATATATATATATATATATATATATATATATATATATATATATATATATATATATATATATATATATATATATATATATAATTTAAAGGTTTATACATTAACACAAAAATTGATAATACTAAATTTAAAAATGTGTTTTTAAGTTTTTATTGGTATATTTCAGAGTTTTGCTCAATGTACATAGCTTTAAGATATTAAAAATGTTTTTTTTTCTTCTATATAAGTCGTTTAGCTTTGCATAGAATTTCTATTCGGTCCTTTTTGTCGTGAACATCTTTTCACGTGTTTTCCTACCATGTGATTTTAAGATCTCGCCCAAGCCTCGTCCAGCGCGTGAATTAGCGTTATCGGTAATAATAATAAGAGCCCGGATATTAGCAGCCATTAGTGCAAGATTGCAGGGTTGCGGGCCCCTTAACGAGCGCCGGTTGTCGCCCGCTAGAGGTCACCCCCTCTAATTAGGCTAACAGATCTAAACCGGCGGACTGCCGGTGTGTTTAGCCGTGTCTTCCCCTCCCCGCGATTGTGTGGGCTGGAACCCGGAGTCCTGCTGTTGCCGGGGATGTCTGCACGATGTAAAGATACATTTACAGATAAATTTACAGTACATTTACAATAATGTTCACGGGTTAAAGCAAAGGGCTATCACAAGGGCTGTCTAAAGTTAACGACCTATAAAGATTCTTTGTTATTGGGTGTCTGCATATATATATATATATATATATATATATATATATATATATATATATATATATATATATATATATATATATATATATATATATATATATATATATATATATATATATATAGGAAATGTTGAGCATATCTTGTATCGGAATCAGTGTGTGTTTGAGGGGGGGGGGGGCGCACTTTAAACTTTCGCAGGGATGGTGGATGAAATTCTATTTCGTTTGGAGGGTGGTAGACAAACTTCTTGGAGGGGGGGGGGGGCTACCAAAGAGACATATAAAGGAAACTGATCGGTTTAGACGATATACTACTTACAACACAAACACACGCAGGTCACCCAGTACAGTTTAAACTGTACAAGTCTCTGTGTGTGAGGGGGGGGGTTGGAGTTATAAAGAGAAGCGTGCTGCACCCCCCCCCCCATATAATTCTGGCATGAACATTCCTGTCACTATGTCCTAGATTCCAGACACAACAACTTAGTTCAAACTCGCATGGCGTATCGCTTTAACGATCTGCGAAGGTTTTCTTTTTTAAAGCACCCAGCATAGCAAGCGTTTAATTAAGTGTAATTAATTCAAATGATCCCACACACTGCTACATTTTTGGAGTCAATTACATGTTCATATTTCCATACATTAATGAATTAGTTAACCCTAATTGATTAATTAAAGGTATTAAGGCGTAAGTAAAAATGAATTTTTTAACGTTCTTTTTTAGGCGTTATAAATAAATGAATTAGTTGACGGTAAATAAATAAGGTTTATTAGATGTACGTAAATTGTATATTGTGTTATGGTGGTGTGAAGATTTGATTATGGTTAGCGTTAGGTTTCAGCAGGACTCAGCACTAACCATGCGTGGATACAAAAATTTACAAAATTTATTGGAAAATTTTAGATTATTGAAAGAAGCCTGAGAAAAAATTCCAATCATTAGTGATGTTTGAGAAAATAAAAGTAAAGTAACCTTTCGAACCTTTCAGTGCATAAGTAAAGTTCCTTTTTAGACCTAGCTATCCATTGGGCAGATGAAATAGAGTTCATGTTTCTTGGTATCGGTATATGAAGTGACGGTTTGTTCAGCACTATCCCGAGATGCCTTGACTTTCCCCAACATAAGTCAGGTACCCATCAGAGCTGGGCGAACTCATGGACGTCCTACTGACTCGAGACTGGGATACAGTTCTAGATTTTTCGGAATAGCAGTCTAGCTCTCCATCATTCGACCACGCCGTCTTTATCAGTGTTTCTTCGAGACTTTTTTTCTCCAGGAGTTCGGGGGGGGGGGGCACTTGAAATTTTCGAGGGGGGGGCGGACACTGGTAAAAGTAACTATTTTCTATATAAATACTATTTCGTTCGTGGGGAGGGGGGGGGGGGGGTGTGGCGGTAGACGAAAAGATGCCTGGAAGAAACACTGGTCTCTATTGTTCAAAAAACTTTCCAATTGTTCCGCAAAGACAATAATGCTCTCAAAATCCTAAATCATTTAATGCAGTTTTCTGCATTTCTTATAAAGAAAAAAACCTCGGTAAAATTGATGTTTTTTCTTCATTCCAATATAGAAATAACTGATTCTCCAATGTGACTAAAACACTGATTTATAATATTTTTTTTCTATTTAATTACGTCATAGTTAAACGTGACGTCAAATCACCACACAGACAGTGCCTGACGTCAGCGCTCAGCGACGACGCCGATGACGTCGACGCCCCGCCCAAGGTCAAACAGCGACGGTCAAGGACGAACTTCAGCCTGGAGCAGCTGAACGAACTGGAGAGGCTGTTTGATGAGACGCACTACCCTGATGCCTTCATGAGGGAGGAGCTGAGTCAAAGGCTGGGGCTGTCGGAGGCGCGGGTGCAGGTGGGTGCAGTTGTCGTGTGGGGTGGGGGTGGGGGGTGGGGGGGTGGAGAGGCTGTTTGACGAGACGCACTACCCGGACGCCTTCATGAGGGAGGAGCTGAGTCAGAGGCTGGGGCTGTCGGAGGCGCGGGTGCAGGTGGGTGCAGTTGTCGTGTCGGGGGTGTGGCTGGTTATGTGTGTGTGTGTAAGGGGGGGGAGGATACTGGTCTTGTTAGTGGGGGTGGGGGTGGGTGATACTGGGTTGTGTGTGTGTGGGGGGAGGATACTGGTAGTGTTAGTGGGGGTGGGGTGGAGAATACTGGTGTGTGGGGGGGGGCGGGGAAACTGGTCGTGTTAGTGGGTAGTGGTTGTGGTGGGTGGGGGGTGGAGGGTGGGTGGGGGGCTGGAAAATACTGGGGTGTTTGTGGGAAATACTGGTCATTATAGTGGGGGGTGGGGGTGGAGGATACTGGTCATGTGTGTCTGTGAGTGTGTGGGGTGACTGGTGGTGGTGTGATAGGGAAGGATACTGGTCGTGTCGTGGTATCTAGTCATTTAGGTTGGGGGGGTGGGGGGTGGGACTGACTATTTCGGTGGTGACTGGTCGGTTGGGGTGGTGGATGACTTGTCATCTCTTGGTGTCTCCCCGTGGTGTCAATCATATGGCTATGGTTAAGAGTTGCAATATGTAAATTGCCAAATACACCATGTATATATATATATATATATATATATATATATATATATATATATATATATATATATATATATATATATATATATATATATATATATATATATATATATATATATATATATATATACACCTATATATAATTCCTTTATTGATTATTACAATTTCATATTATTTATCTAATGCAAATCTTGAAAAAAAATAGCTTTACTAGACTGTATATATTTTTCTACTTGTTATGATCCCTTTACCTGTACTTAACAGACACCTCTGATTTAGCCTTGGCAATAAAAACGATACCATACTGGCGTTAAGCATTTTTCACATAAACAAATGGAGGATCAACCAAAGCATACGAAGAAACATTTTCGGCCTACAAATTTATTGAACCTTCTTCCCAAATCTTTATTTTTTTCGAATTTATTTATAAACCATTTTTTATTGCACTGTAAATATGCTCGCTATTATTATATAGATAACGTAATTAAAATAACATTCTAAAATGTGATAATCACATTTCAGTCAATTAATAACGAGGGGTATAAATATTAATCTAATCGCACCAAAAGACTTTTTTATTTGAATTTTATTTTAAACAGATGGGTAAAGATTACCCTCGTGTTCTGGGATAATTTTTATTTCTAAATTTTAAAAAACCGGTAGGGAAAAAGAAAATAACGTGTAATCGTTCATACCGCAAACGCTTTCAGTCGTATCGTCCATTTATAATTCACAAGACGCTTATTACTTCCCCTTGGGAAACGGAAGTGACGAGAGACCAATCGAGTTAGAGAAGGTCTCGGGAGAGTCTCGGGATAGACCTCGTGACCGAGCCATCGACGTCGGCCATATTTGTTTCGAGGGGGATGGGGGTGATTTAAACGGATTCCGTTAATAGAAGAATTGGAAATTAGTGTGGAATAATTTTTTGTGGGGTGGGGAATTCGGGGGAAGGGGAAATACACAGTCGGACCTGTCTAGGGAATGGGGAGCATATCTTGTACGGGAATACCCGCTATTTTATTAGCATTACTAGCGGAATGTCCGTTATTTTATTAATATTGAATCAAGGAGCATAATTTTAGGTATATGGTGTGTCATCAAGGCATAGCCACAAAGTGAATTAACTGATAATACTTTTCTTTTATTAGTTTGTATGATAGTGTATTATATAATACTATTATATAAATGATATCATGTTACATAATTATAGTTAATACTTATTATATGATAATATTATAGAAATTATATCATGTTACATACATATAATTTATACTTATTATATGATAATATTACAGAATGATATCATGTTACATAATTATTGAAATAGCAATATCTATTCGATAACGTAGCGTTGCTAGTAAAGTAAAAAGTAAAAATTTCCTTTTTGGACCTAGCGACCCATTGGGCAGATGAAACAGAGTTCATATGTTTCTTGACCTCGGCATATGAAGGGATGGTGTGGTCAGCACTATGTCTAGGCACCTCATGTTATCTCTATCTCATAGTATCTCTATCTGACAATACGACAGAGTTAGGTTGAGCAAAAGTTTTCCCCCTTTAATTAAAATTTTTGTTGACTGGGATATGTTTAGGGCTAGGGATGTTAAAAACGTAAATGTTTTTAACTTTCAAATGGCTTTGAACTTCTTCGTTCTTAATTCTAGTGTCATACGTAATTTCCTCCAACACAATAGGACTGGTAAGTAGGTCACCAACCAGTTCAACGGCTCAATAAAACCTGCATGAGCCATATAACTGATTGTTGACCTACTTACCAGCCCTATTAAGTATTACGTGTCAACCTGCTATGCACTAAATTGGCCGTTGACTTGATTTCAGCCTGCTTTTGTTTCTAAATTGGCTTTGGACTATTTTTCAAATATATTCAATAATGTTCAAATTATATCTTTGAAAAAATCTGACTACAGAAGATAGAAACACGGATTATAAGAATCTTTCTTTGATGATTAAAGACTTAAGAAAATTAAGTCTTAATTATAGCCCTATTTAACGATAACGTCTCATTTCACTTCAATTATATCACCCCTTCCCTCCCCCATACATCTTTTAACACCGAATGGTAATTTCTAGAAATGAAATCATATTTTTAAGTACATTCTCAAATTAACTCCCTTTATTACATTTACTATGATGCATCAAGGCGAGATAACTCTTAGAAATGAAATCAAATCTCAAAAAGTGACTGATGACGCTATTACCCAAACGGTATAATCGCCCCCGAAGACGCCCAGCGTATAGCCCGATGTTAACCTTCACGAGACGCGCCCACCCGCCGGTCATGCGCAGTCTCTGTAGAATCATATCATCGCCATGTCCCTAGGCATGCATCGCTCAGAAAATCTGGCCACTAATTCCCTAATTGCCGGATAAAATTTTTTTTTTAGACCCCCAATTTTCAGTTGGTCATTTATTTTCTGATTAGCTCCTTTGAATATAGGATCTGTTCCCTTGTCATTCCTATTTGTCGTGATTTTATTTTAACAAATTGGTCTAGGGTTAGAATAGAGTAATTAATATAGTCTGATTAATCTGAAGAGGATTTCTATCACAAGTATTAGTTGAAACGAAAAAGTCATTTACTGGTATAGACCTACAGTATAGAAGCGTTTCAGTACGCATCACTAGAAGAACTTCAAAAGCCTTAGCATCAATACGAAGAAACTGTATAAAAGTATTGGGGTATAATATGTATTGACAAACGGGACTGTGTGTTCGAGCAGTAGAGCACACGGGCAGTTTGTTTCTTGTTTTGAGTCTGAAGGACTATATTGAGTACCTGGCACCAATCGGGGAAAGTAAAGTCTGCTGGGTATAGGGCTGGCTATACTATTAAGTCATATATCGAAGTGAGAAAAAGATGAACTCTACTTCACCTGCTACGTGATTCATCTGGTCAGATATTATGATAATTAATTACATTGGGTTAAAACTGTTTCTAATTATATGGGACGGAGTGGTCGGTTGGTAGAGCGTACAACTGCCAACCCGAAAGTCTCGAGTTCGGATCTCAGGATAGAGTCCGTATGACTTCTTGAGTCCGCCCATGTCAGTTGGGTACTTGACTCGCATCAGGTAAAGCATAGGCAGCTGGGCACACCACCTCTTCATATGATGATAGAAATACTCTCCTCTGCTAACTTATTTATAAGGTAAGATTGCTAAATTTAGAAGTGCTGAGTTCGGACCCCGGGTTGATGAGGCTCGTTAGCCAGTAACAGCAACCCATCTAGGAGAGATAACTACAAAATCAAACAACTGCTGCCTTGTAGTTTGTTTTAGGTTGGAAGTAACTCCAGTAAAATAACAGGCTGAAGTCTAAGTAAAAGGGCCATATAGCGCAAAATGTTGACACGTAATACTTGCGTTGGATGCAAATACACTTCATTAAGAACGAAGAAGAATTATATTAGTAATATTACCTACGTACAATATTTAAAACAACTTTCTCAATTCGAATTCTTCTTCTTCTTCGTTCTTAATTTTTTTTAGTGTTGGAAGGGATCAAGCCTTATCTGCCAGAGGGTTTGAACTCGAGACTTTTTCGAATAGATCACCATGACTCGACCACGCCTCACTCACAATTAAGGATACGTGTCAACTGGTTATGCGCCATTGAGACCATTGACTCCGATTCAGCCTGCTTTTCTTTTTGGATTTACTTCCATAGCCTTTGTCCAACCAAGAACAAACTACAAGGCAGCAGTTGTTTGATTTTGGAGTTGTCTTTCCTAGAAGAGTGGCTGTCCCCAGCTAACGAGCCTCATCTGTCCGAGGGTTCGAACTCGAGACTTTTCCGTTTAGCAACCATGAGCTTTACCGACTCGACCACGCCGACCCCTTTCAATTCGAATAACTATCGCAAGTTCTTTAATTTATCTTGGACTTAACGTATAGATCCTACATACTCTCAAAAACAAAACAAAACAAAACATGTTTCATAAAAAAATGGCGAAATTTTCTTCCCATCTTTGAGCTGGAGAAAATTGATTTATGAAATGACTCCTAAGATGAAATCTAAGAATGATTAAAAAGCAAAGATTACAGTTAATAACCGCGCATTCCTATGTTTCCTTTCACTCGTCCCACAACCACAACGGAAGTGTCGAGTTTTTTCCTCCGTGCGCATGCGCAGCTGATCACGTGCTGGATCACGGCCACGTGACCAGATAAAAGGCGCTGGAAAGGGGCCAGATTATCTGTCGGGTTTTGCATGACGCGGCGCGGCAAGCGGCCGGTTTGGCCGCGTCCAACAACCATTGAGAGACGCCATTATCTAAATAGGTTCCTTTGGAGCTCCAATATT